CCCGGCAGTCATCTAACCCCGCCTCGTCCGCCAGTGAGGAGATCTTCGACTACTCCGAAGAGCAGATCGTCTCCAAGCGCGTGGACGAGCTGAAGAACGAGCTGGCCAACCAGTTCGCCCCCATTTTCTCCCTCTGCATGTTCATCCTGACCAGCGCCTCCAAGCCGTCCCTGGTGCTGGTGGCCCTGGAGACCCTGCTGCGCTTCCTCGGTTGGATCCCCCTCGGCTACATCTTCGAGACCAACCTCATCCCCTTCCTCACCGAGAAGGTATCCCTCGCCCGCCCGCTGGCCACTTGTCGCGCATGCTCCCTCCCTGCTTTGCCTGCCCCTTCTCTCGGGTTCTGACTCCGCTCCCCCCTGCCCCCCCCCCCCCCCCCCCCCCCCCCCCGAGGGGCCACCCGTCCGCGCCGGTTGGGGCGGTGAGCCGAGGCCCGGGGCTCCGGGACAATACTCCTGGTCGTGCATGGGCCAATGCAGGCGCGGATCTGCCCCGTAGACCGCGCCCTGGGGTGAGGTCGGCAAGGGCTCCTCCCCCCCCCCCCCCCCCCCGCGATGCGCAGTTCTTCGTCGTCCCCCAATCTCGCAATGTCACCCTCAAGTGCCTGACCGAGATCGCCAGCCTCAAGCTCCAGCAGGGCCAGGGGGCCACCTTTGTGCCGATGATCGTTCGGCTCTTTGACTCGGTCATGGAGAAGCTGCCGGCCTACCTGTCCGTGGAGACGGACCTGGCCAGCACGTACAACAACCGCTCCGGCTCGGACCAGATCTTCATCCAGGACCTGGCCAACTTCTTTGTCGGCCTCTTCAAGGAGCACCTGTCCGTGCTGGAGAGCCACAACCCGGACCGGCTGCTGACGGCGCACATGTACCTGATTAACATCTCCAACATCGACGATCGCGAGGTGTTCAAGTCGTGCCTGGACTACTGGGCCGTGCTGGTGGAGCAGCTGTATCGCGAGCCCTCGATGGCCCCCTCGCCGCTGTTGATCACCTCCAGCCCGGGGCCCACCCCGCGCCAGCAGTTCTACCAGCAGATCCTGTCGCACCTGCGTGTGGTCATGATCAACCGCATGGTCAAGCCGGAGGAGGTGCTCATCGTGGAGGAGGAGGGCGAGATCATCCGCGAGTTCCAGAAGGACACCGACACCATTGCCCTGTACAAGGCCATGCAGGTGGTCTTGACGCACCTGACGCACCTGGACAGCGAGGACATGGAGTTCATCATGCGCGAGAAGCTCATGCGCCTGATGTCCAACGCCGAGTGGTCCTGGTCTGCCATCAACAAGCTGTGTTGGTCCATCGGCTCCATTTCCGGGGCCATGTGTACGTGGTGGCTGTCCTTTCGCGCGCCGTCTGTCCGTTTGTGTGTGTGTGTGTGTGTATTTGTTCATGTGCCTGGCTGACTTCTGACTTCCGACATGCGCGCGCGCCCTCCCCATGACATACTCGATTGTCGCCCTCCTTCCCTTTCTCCCTCCTTCCCTTTCTCCCTCTTTCTCTTTCTCCCTCTTTCTCTTTCTCCCTCTTTCTCTCTCTCCTCTTCCTTCTCTCTCTCCTCTTCCTTCTCTCTCTCCTCTTCCTTCTCTCTCTCCTCTTCCTTCTCTCTCTCTCTCTCTCTCCTCTTCCTTCTCTCTCTCCTCTTCCTTCTCTCTCTCTCTCTCTCCCCTCTTCCTTCTCTCTCTCCTCTTCCTTCTCTCTCTCTCTCTCTCTCCTCTTCCTTCTCTCTCTCTCTCTCTCTCTCTCTCTCCTCTTCCTTCTCTCTCCTCTTCCTTCTCTCTTTCTTTCTCCTCTGCCCCCCTCCCTTCCTCCCTTCCTCCCCCTCTCTTTCTCTCCCCCCCCCACACACACAGCTGAGCCCGAGGAGAAGCGCTTCCTCGTGGTCGTCATCAAGGAGCTCCTGGACCTGGTGGACCTCAAGCGCGGCACCGACAACAAGGCCGTGGTTGCTTCCAACATCATGTACATCGTCGGGCAGTACCCCCGGTTCTTGCGCCAGCACTGGAAGTTCCTCAAGACCGTGGTCAACAAACTTTTCGAGTTCATGCACGAGCGCCATGAAGGCGTGCCTGACATGGCCTGCGACACCTTCATCAAGATCGCCTCCTCCTGTCGCAACCTCTTCGTGGTGGCCCATGTCAATGAGCCCGGCCCCTTCATCAACACCATCATCGACAGCCTGCCGGCCACCATTTCCGACCTGCAGCCGCAGCAGGTGCAGACCTTCTACGAGGCGGTGGGCATCATGATCAGCGCGGCCACCTCGACCGAGCAGGCGCACGCCCTCATTCACAAGCTGATGGCCCTGCCGAACCAGGGCTGGTCCGAGCTGCTGTCCAAGATCGCCGGGGACATTTCCCTCCTGGAAAACCCGACCATGTACAAGACCCTGGCCAACATCCTGAAGACCAATGTCTCGGTGTGTTCCTCGGTCGGGCAGGCCTTCATCGTGCACATTGCCCACATCTTCCGCGACATGATGGAGCTGTATCCCATCTGCTCGCAGCTGATCAACAACCGCCTGCAAACCGGCGGGCCGAATGAGCCGCGCACGCCGCTGGTTCGCGGGCTGCGCCTCATCAAGCGCGAAATCCTCAAGCTCTTCATCACCTTCTTCCCCCACTGCGCCGGGGATCCGGAAACCGTGGCCACCAGCTTCGTGCCGGACTTGCTGAAGGTCACCATGATCGACTACCAGAACACCCAGCCGGAGGTCCGCGATGCCGAGGTCCTGCTCCTGTGTGCCTCGATGGTGGACCACCTGAAGGGGGAGGTCATCGGCAAGGTGCATCCCATCCTGGATGCGGTGTTCGAATGCACCCTGTCCATGATCAGCAAGGACTTCCAGGAGTACCCGGACCATCGGACCGGCTTCTACCGGCTGCTGCGGGCCATCAATCGCCACTGCTTCGAGGCCCTCTTCACCCTGGGCCAGGCGCAGTTCAAGCTCTTCATCGACTCGGTCGTGTGGGGCATCAAGCACACCATGCGCGACATCGCCGAGATGGCCCTGCACACGCTGCAGGAGATGCTGGAGCAATTCCGCCGCAAGCTCCTGGCCCAGCCGGGCCAGGTGACCGGCTTCTACCAGCAGTACTACGTGTCCCTGATGCAGGATGTCTTCGTGGTGCTGACCGACAGCGACCACAAGGCCGGCTTCAAGCTGCAGACGTCCATCCTCAAGGACATGTTCGACATCGTCATCGATGGTCTGATGCCGGCGCAGCTCTTCGACCCGAAGGCCTTCCCCGACAACCCGAACATGACCAATGTGGCCTTCCTCAACCACTATGTGTCGGATCTCCTGGCGCGGGCCTTCCCCCAGGTGACCCCGGCCCAGGTGAAGCACTTCGTCAAGGGGCTACTCCAGAAGAACGACCCGCTGGCCTTCAAGGTCCTGGTCCGGGACTTCCTCATCAGCCTCAAGCAGTTCGCCGGCCAGGACAACCAGGAGCTGTATGTGGTTGATGAGCCGGCGGCCGACGCGTCCATCGCCAACTAACTGGCATGGTCGGGCGCGTGTCTGTGTGTGTGTGTGTGTCTGTCTGTCTGTCTGTCTGTGCGTATGCCGGTGGCTGGTTGGTCACGGGTGTGCCCCGCGTCCGGTGCTCTCCCCTCCTGCTCCCGCACCCTTGTTTCCCTTCCCGTCTGCCGTGTGATGGCGCAAAGGCAGCGCACCCACAGCCCGGGGAGGGGGAGGGGGGAGGGGCGTGCGTGCGTACGCGCGTGCGCACGAGGAGGAACTGGCCAGGGGGCCGCGCGGAGGAGGGCCCGTCGTGCGATCGATCGATGGGGGGTGGTCTGAGAAGGGGTGAGCGAGAAAAAAAAAAGAGCGCGACGACACACACGGACGTCCGCTCGCGCCCTGTCCTTCACATATCAATCTTCAAAAAATTTGCCCCCCGTCGCGTGCTTCCCCTCGCGCACGGTGGCGCGCCTTTCCTACTTGCTCCCCCGTCTCTCCCTCTCTCCCCCCCCCCCCCCGTGTGCCCCCTCCTCTGCCACCCCTTTCCTCCCTCCTGCTCCTGGTGCACCACTCCGTGTGTTTGTGTGTGCACTGCCCTTGTGTGACACCTCCCCCCTCCTCCCCCCTCCTCTCGGCCTCTCTCCCTGTGCTCCCTGTGCGCGCGCGCCCCCTCTTCTTCTCCCTCCTGTTTCCTCGCTCCTTTGGCGTGCGCGGGCGCGCGCCCCGTCGGGCGGCCACCCTCTGTCCCTCCTCCTCCCGTCTGCGCCCCTGGGCGTGCGTCCCCGCCGGCACTAGACCATGGCTGGCGGCGCACGCGCTTGCGCCCGAGAGCGCCCCGGGTGCCCCCTCCCCCCCCCCCCACTTTCCTTGCTCCCCCTTCCCCCCCGGGCCCGAAAAGGGCCAATACATTGTTCTATATACATATATATATATATGTAACCATATATTTGCACACGCATGTACACCACACATTCTGGTATGTCTCCCGCCGGCCATTCTCCCGGCGACAGATCGCCAAAGGGAATGCGCCCGGTTTGCGTGGGGAGGGGCGACCGTGTGCGCATGTTGCTCGCTCCTCGCGAAGTCTAGAGTGCGCCCACGTCAGGTGGTCACCATCCGGCGCTGGGCCGGGCGCTGGCGGACGTCCGACCAGGCAGCGCCACCGGTGCCGGCCGGAGTGCGGTGCGGTGTGGCCCCGGCCGGCCCGGGCTGCGGCGGGAAGTGCGGCAGGCCCCCCGGCCCCGGGGCCGGGTCCTCGAAGAGGACCTCCCGCATGGGATACACGATGCGAGTGAGGGATTCAAGTCGCGGCAGCGACCGCTGTAGGGCCACCGAGGGCGGACAGACGCACCCGGGCGTCAATGAGCAAGCGGCGAGGGTGAGACGAGAAAAAAAAAAGCAGCCGGCAGACCAAAATTGTCGCCCCCCCCCCCCCCCCTGCCACGCAGGGCCAGTGTATGCATACCGTGAACAGCGGGACCAGCTGATGCCCCGGCGGGGCGCCGGCGGTGGTTGTGGCGCCGAGCGACTGGGCCAGGATGGCCGCCGAGCCGTTTGCCGGCCGGCGCCCGGCCGAGTTCCCCTCGTCCGAGGTGACCACTGACGCATAGAAAACCACCCGCCCGCGAAAGAGCCCCTCATTCACCAGCAGGTCCACCACCGACGACCGGGGGAGGAAGCGCTGTTGCCGCGAGGCCCCGGCCAGCAGGGAATACAGCCGCCGACGATCGGCCGTCAAGATCAGCCCGACGTCCCGGCTGACATGCAGGGATTCTGCACGGTGATGGGAGGGACAAAGCGAGGCATTAGGACCTTCCCTCCCAGGGAGCTGCCCGCGAGAGGGCCATATGCCCTGCCGAAGGGGCCGGGAAAGGAGCATGCTGCCCGAGGGGCCAGGAAAAGGCGCGAGGCATGCCGGGACGCACCCTTGAAGATGGGATGGCGCCAGTCCCACGCTATCAGCCCGGCCAGGGCGGCCACCAGCCCGGCCATGGAGAGGGTCACCAGGGTGCGCGCCTGGCCGAGGGGCACATTCCAAGTCAGCGACCATGATTCCCCGGACAGAGAGAAGGAGAGGGAGAGAGAGAGAGAGAAGGAGAGAGAGAGAGAGAGCGCGCGCGCGAGGGGCAGGCGAGAAGGGGCGAGGGCAGGATGGCAGGAGGCGCACCAAGTCCGGCAGCTGCCCGGGCCGGGACCAGGCCAGCAGTGCCGCGCCCGGAGCCATCAGCAGGACCAGCGCCCAGAAGAGAACCTGCCGCCGGGCCACATCGTCCTCCGAGAAGGAGGGGGTTCGCAGGACGATGGACAGCTCGCTGGCCGACGGCCGCGCAATCTCCAGCGCGCATTGCCCGGCCAAAATGGTCTGGCACGGGCCGGTCCAGCTGCCCGGCCGGCGGGGCTCCCCGGAAGGGGGGGGCGCGGCTCGTGGGGATCCCACGTTTGCGACGAGCGGTGGCGGCGATGTGCCACGATGCGTGCGTGTGTGCGTGCGTGCGTGTGTGCGTGCGTGTGTGTGTG